ATACTTAATTGTTAACGGCCACCGTACGTCACAAATCTTACATTTGTCTGACATGACGTAGAAAGATCATATCGAATCAATTGCTAGATTTGATGCAGGAACAGCTTGTTCACTCTTTTCTGCCAGACGATTTTTCGCGCCAGAACCTATCTTACATAATTATAAGTCTACCATTCACGCGTGCTTTGAATATTACTGCCATATGTGGAATGGTATTCCTCCTATATATTTGGAGATTCTTGATAAATTCGAAATAAGAATCTGCAATGTTTTCACTTTTTCATCACCACCATAGCGTTTTCTCCCCCGAGTCTCTTTCATTAGACCGAAGAGATGGAAGTATCAGTGGTACGTAGGGTGGTGATGAAGAACTGGAAACTGGAATTGGCGGCAACAACCGTCAGCTGAGTTTTACGAAGCTGGATACAGGCACTCATTTGAGGGTGGAACACGGGCATTGAAAGAGGTGGTGAGTATGGTGAGAATTAGGGATGTGAACCTATGATGTATAGCTGTATCTTGTAGCTATATCTTGATGTATGATATGATACATCATGCTCCATATTTCTTATACAATAAAATAAATTGCATCACTGTAAAACAAATTGAAACTTTGGTTAATTATTAGCTATCTTTTATACTTAACTTGGAAACTAGGATTAGTCATCTTGTATATTCTATATCTAGTGTTCAGCTATCATTAGTTATTAGATCTTTATATAGTTAGTTATTAGGTCTTTATATAATTAGTTATTAGGTCTTTATATAATATTGTCTTAATTCTAAGTCTGATCAATTCCATAAGAAAGATTTTATTGAATCAATTGCTAGGAAGGCTGCTAAGAAAATTGGTTCACTATATTCTGTTTGAGAATTTCTCTCACCAGAGTATATATATATATATATATATATATATATATATATATATGTGTGTGTGTGTGTGTGTGTGTGTGTGTGTGTGTGTGCAAGTTTGCGTTGGTACAGATAGATAGATACATGGATAGATAGATAGATATGAATAGAATGCAAGACATCAATATATAGATAGGAACATATTGAAACAAAGAAAAAATAAAGAAAAAAGAAACCGACTCCAATAGATAGGTAGATAAGTAGATAGATACATATGTACGAACTGACCGAGATAAACATACATACAGACAGATAGATAGATAGATAGATAGATAGATAGATAGATAATGTATCAACTGGATGAGATAGACAAATATGAACAGATTGAGATAGACAGATGCGAATACACTTAGAAAGGCAGATAATGAATACAATGCGAGAGTTCGATAAGAGCGATTTTCATATATATATATATATATATATATATATATATATATATATATATATATATTTCAATTAAAGGTGCAAATTATAATTTATAATTTAAATCATTAACCTCTATATTTGTTTTTTGTATGAATGATTCATGAATTATATATATATATATATATATATATATATATATATAAATGTATGTATGTATATATATAGAGAGAGAGCGAGTGAGAGAGTGGGAGAGAGGGAGAGATAGATAAATATCAATTGACTGTGACAGAAAAATATGAACAGATTAAGATAGATATATATCAATAGTGGTAAACAGATATTCGCAGATTAAGACAGATACGAACACGCTGAGTTATAATAGATAATGAATAAAATGCAATAGGTCGAAAAGAGTGATTTAATACATATATATATATATATATATATATATATATATATATATATATATATAGAGAGAGAGAGAGAGAGAGAGAGAGGTAGGGAGGGGGAGGAGATTGTTAGATGATAGATATGAGCTATCAAAAAGAAAATCTGTCTGTGTGTGTGTGTGAAAGAGAGAGAGAGAGAGAGAGAGAGAGAGAGAGAGAGAGAGAGAGAGCCCTTTGGACTTGGATATGGAAAAGCAAAAGCTGAGAAATTATTTTTTTTTGCTGCGTTATCAGAGTAGATAAAATCAGTTTAATGTATTTCATCTCAACATTTGCTGACAACCCCCTTTTTCCATCGTTTGACCTTTGCGTGATAGATTTATTTTTTCATCTTTGCTGAAGGGAATCCTAGAAATACAAAGTCTATCTGAAATACATAAGCCTATCATTCATCCAACAATTCATGTTTTCACACAAATGGCTGCATTTGTTTTCTAAATTTCAATCATATGACATCATATTGCCATCATTAATAAATCTGCAAATGTAATTCATGTGAACCGCGTCTGACAGTAGACTCATTCTCTGACAGAAATTATGCTGGAGGTAGTACTGAAGTTTGTCATAACCCTCCAAGACTATGTCTGACTATCGTCGTATCAAGCAAAATAATATTTGACTCTAGTCTTAGACTCCGTGAATATTTTGTTGGAGGTAGTTTTGATAGCCCTCCATTATTGAAGGCCTGAATGATCTTTTTCCTCTCATCATTGCTCATTTAGGAAGACAGTGGGTCTGACACCAAACGATTTGAACCTGTTCTCTTTCTAGCTGAATAATCCAAAGGGTTTTTTAGTGATTCTCACGACAATGCTAAGATAACTAAACCTCTAAAAACTCAATTAGTTTGTTCATTTTTTTAGATATGGAACTTTATGTGGGATGGACACTTATGCTGACACACGACCTGGACAATTTTGTTGTTACACACGATATATATATATATATATATATATATATATATATATATATATATATATATATATATCGTTCAGGGAAAAGTTGAAATATTGTGATTGATTTACACAAAGAAAAATTCTTTTTAAAATCTGACCCAAACTAACAACGCGAATTAAGTTTCTAGTTTGAAAGAAAAAGAAAATGTAATTTAATCATTTTTCTTTCTTTTTAGGCTTCCGTAAAATTAAAATGAGAGACGTTTGCCTTTGGTTAAGATTAAGAAAAAATATTGTTGATGGCCAGACGTCGGCGTTAGGACGTGGAAACTGTTTGCAATTTATTTGAGGCTTGTCACAGCTAAATTAACAGCTGAAACGAAAAGCGTGCTAAAATATTAATAAAATATCTTGTTTATTTAATTTCGATGAACGATAGAAACCCCACCTGAACAGTCGATCTTCGAGCGTTGTAAACATGCCACAGTAAATTGCTTAATGTAATCAATCAACAAATTCCATTGAAGATTTTGGAAGGAATGTCCACGTAACCAATTCTGGAATCCATATTGCGTTTTTTAGTTGCTGTCTGCAATCTAATTGTAAAAATTTGATATGGAAAAATACTTTCTTGAGAACCCAAACTCCGTTTTATAGAAAAATATTTTTTTCAAATAAATTTCATTGCTTTAATTATTTTAAAATTTTATTTCTTGATTCTTTTCATTATTATTTTTTTTTTTTATAAATGTTTATACTATTCTTTTTTTAGTTAAGCGGAATGGAGTAATTTATCCAATCAAAACTGCCTGCTTTTTTAGTGCGGATTTGTTGAAGGTGTAATCTCTTCCGGTCATAGAATATTATTTCAGGTTTGTTATTTTATGCTTTCAGCTTTTAATATAAAATTTAATACTCGGTCACACGAATTCAAAGGATGATAGAAATTTCTTAAATACAAATAAAATCTCTTCAATGCACTTGCGTTGAAATTCCGATAGGATAGTGGTCATCACGTTTTCCCAGACTTCATGTTGATATACTTGTTATGATGTTGATTTGGGGTTAGTAGAGACAAACGCCAAATAACACGTAACAAATAAAAGGATTTTAATAGGTTGGTAAAAAGGTACAGAAATCGCCTGTATAGTCAATAACTAGCTCAGCTAAGAACTTCTCTGGGTATTTATCATTTCACCCACGGGAAACGAATATGGCACAAGGCCGGTTTTATTGTGGGTTTCCCCAAGCCCGTAGGCTCGGCCAAAAAAATAGCCTTTTGAAGCCGATTAGACGGGTTCAGGCCCTGTCTACCTCCCCGGACGAAACCTTGCCCTTCGGCAAAGCTCGTCTGGTTCCTCTTCTGTTAACGCAGAGAGTTCGACAGACGTCAGAAGTCAGCTAAGAACTTTCTGAGTATTTATCGATCCCCCACGAGGATTGAATATGGCACAAGGCCGGTTTAATGGGTATCTCCGAGCCCGTAGGCTCGACCAAAAATATAGCCATTTTGAACCCGCCTAGACGGTTTCAGGCCCTTTTATTTCTCCCGGACGAAACCTTGCCCTTCGGCAAAGTTCGTCCGGGTTCCTCTTCTAATGCAGAGAGTTCGACAGACGTCGGAAGTCAGCTAAGAACTTCTCTGGGTATTTATCATTTCACCCACGGAAACGAATATGGCACAAGGCCGGTTTTATTGTGGGTTTCCCTGAGCCCGTAGGCTCGGCCAAAAAATAGCCTTTGAAGCCGATTAAACGGGTTCAGGCGCTGTTCACCTCCCCGGACGAGACCTTGCCCTTCGGCAAAGCTTCGTCCGGGTTCCTCTCTACTAACGCAGAGAGTTCGTCAGAAGTCAGAAGTCAGCTAAGGACTTCTCTGTCTATCTGTCTTCCAACATGACACTATTTAAAGTCTTTGTTCGCAGACAAGTTCATCTTCAAGAGGGGTGGTATGTTTCCGACACAACAATACTCAACATTTTGTTTCCGACGTGGTTTTGGATTTGATTTTTTTCTTCTTTAAAATTTCACAGTATTAGTTCCTTCTTTGGAGAAACTTTTAAAAATCTGAAATCTCAAGAACGTAATTTTAAAATGACTAGCTGTTTTTTGATTGGTTGATTCGTTTTTTACAGTTTATCAACCCATTGCAGAGAATATTTTTGGATTGTACGAATTTTTTTTTTTTTTAGATAATAATGATTTAGTGATACAAGTCTAACTAATTAACCCATAGCTGGGGAAAGAAGTGGTGGATTCATACCTTTCGCAAATGTATTTGCGCGCCAGTGGATATAAAGGACCCATCGGGAATTGGAACTCGACTCTCCGATTAACAATTCCGAGCCATTATCTATTACACCATCCGTACATCTAAGCTTACAGCTCCTGGTACTTCAAAGGGGTTGCCTATCTAGGTACTCACCAGGTTCGACGTTACTTAACTTCGGTGAACGTACGAGAACCGGTGTTTCAACGTGCTATGGCCGTAAACCATATTTGTATGCATATAAATATATTGTATGAATTATAGTGTATATTGCATCATATCAATACTTCTATCGGTCATTTAATACTGAAATCTGAAAAATTGAACATTATAATTACTCCAAGAGACTGACTTTATTTCATGATTAAATTAGCTGTATTTTTTTTTACCAAAATCAAACCAGGAGTGAAATATTGTTTCTTCTTACAAGAAATGAGATTAAACAGATCATTTTTTCCTTTTGTGACACTATATGCCATGTCTTCAATTTTACTATAAAGTGTGTTGATTGTCATTTTGCTATAAAATGGATTGTTGGTCAGTTTATTATAGAAGTGTATTGTTGGTCATTTCTACTATAAAATGTATTGTTGGTCATTTTGCTTTAGATTCCTAATTAAGTTCCCTAGAAATTTCAGTTGTCTTTTATAAGTCGTTCTGTATTTTTCAGTTCCTGTTAACCTAAACGTTTTGTCAGAATGAAAATAAACAATGATGATTTTTTGTCTTTTCCTTGAATAGTTATGCCCAGGAAAAATGTTAATCAATTGTCTAAAGGAAAAAAATAAAGAGAAAAATCTTTAAAGAACAGGTTGTATATAGAGAGTTTCATTAAATACTTATATATATAATGGAAAAAAAAAACTTGAGTAAATCGACTCGAATCCTACTCTAATGTGGCTACTTGCCATATTTATAAGTAAGAACAGTCCATTGTCACAGTAGTAGAGAAGAGCATGAAATATGAGCCCTACTCTACAACAGTTGGTTGCTTTTGTTTAGCGGGCATATCAACCTGTATGGGTTGTTTAATGCCAAACTCTAAATACGAAAGTTCAAACTTTATAGTTACTTCATGAGACTGATGTTATTTCATGATTAAATTAGCTGCATTTTTTTTTACCAAATAATCTTACAAAATCAAACCAAGGAGTGAAAACTTGTTTCTCCTTACAAGAAATGATATTAATCAGAACAAATTGTTTTTTTTTCTTTTTTTTTGACACTATATGCCATGTCTTCAATTTTACTATAAAGTGTGTTGATTGTCATTTTGCTATAAAATTGTTGGTGAGTTTATTATAAAAGTGTATTGTTGGTCATTTCTACTATAAAATGTATTGTTGGTCATTTTGCTTTAGATTCCTAATTGAAATGTTGTCTTTGTTTAAAGTAGCCTAGAATAAGGAAGGTCCTAGTTAGAGAGAGTATCAAAGGAACAGAAGACTAGGTAGGGAAAACAGAAAGTGGTTTATTAAATACTTACACACAGAACAGAAAAAAAACTTGAGTAAATCGACTACTCAAATCCTACTCTAATGTGGCTACTTGCCATATTCATAAGTAGGAAGAGTCCATTGTCACAGTAATAGGGAAGAGCAGGAAGTACTAATCTACAACAGTTGGTTGTTTTAGTTCAGTGGCATATCAACCTGTATGGATTATTTAATGCCAAACTCTAAATACGAAAAATTCAAACTTTATAATTACTTCATGAGACTGACGTTATTTCATGATTAAATTAGCTGCATTTTTTTACCAAATAACCTTACAAAATCAGCTGATGTTGAATTGTTGTCTTTGTTTAAAGTAGCTGAGAATTAGGAAGCCCTAGTTAGAGAGAGTATCAAAGAACAGAAGACTAGGTAGGGAAAACAAAAAGTGGTTTATTAAATACTTACACACAGAACGGAAAAAACTTGAGTAAATCGACTACTCCTCAAATCCTACTCTAATGTGGCTACTTGCCATATTTATAAGTAGGAAGAGTCCACTGTCACAGTATTAGGGAAGAGCAGGAAGTATGCTGGTGGTTGTTTTCGTTCAGTGCCATATCAACCTGTATGGATTATTAAATGCTGAACTCTAAATATGAAAATTCAAACTTTATAATTACTTCAAGAGACTGATGTTATTTCATGATTAAATTAGCTGCATTTTTTTTTACCAAATAATCAAACCAAGGAGTGAAAAATTGTTTCTTCTTACAAGAAATGAAATTAATCAAAACAAATTGTTTTTTTTTCTTTTTTTTTGACACTATATGCCATGTCTTCAATTTTACTATAAAGTGTGTTGATTGTCATTTTGCTATAAAATTGTTGGTGAGTTTATTATAAATTATATTACCTTGGTAATTCTATTATAAAATTCATTGTTAGTTATTTTGCGATAAAATTTATTGCCGGTCATTTTGCTATAAAAAATACATTATTGGTAATTTTACGATAAAATTTATTGCTGATAATTTCACCACAAAAATGTATTTTTGGTATTTTTTTTTTAATAAAAATGTATTTTTATATTTTCCTCGTGCTGCAATTTCTGTTTGGGTGATCGCTATTTGGAAATACCTTGAACCCTACCAGGTGCTACCACCCCGGGTCAAGGTGGAGCTGGGAACACTAGCAATTAACAGGGGGGTCCATGCTCCTCAAAACCTCCAATCTCCTAATCAGAGGCCATGCTACCAGATGTAGTTTATCATCATACTCAGGAATATATGATGGTAAGGTTTCACAATTACTCCTCACTCTGTTTCACGTTCAAACTTTATAATTAATTCAAGAGATCGACATTGTTTCATTATTTAATTATAAACTTTTAACAAATAATCTTACAAAAGCAAAGGGGGAATGAAAACTTGTTTCTTTTTACAAGAAATAAGATTAATCAGAGCAAATTTAAAAAAAAAATTTAGAAGAATGTATACCATCTTCAATTTTACTAAAAAAATGTATTGTTGGTCATTTTGTTATAAAAATGTCATTTTTTTTAATAAAATGTATTTATGCTAATTTCACTCCAAACATCTTGGTAATTTTTTTTAATAAACTGTATTGCTGGTATTTTTACTATAAAAATATATATTTATATTTTCCTAGTGTTTTGGCTTTAGTTTTTTTTGTGGATGGGGGGAGTTCTCTATTTGGGCATACCTGGGAAATCTGTCAGGTGTTACGACCCCGACTCAGGGGAACAAAAGCTATTAAGAAGTGATTACACTTCCGATTAGAGGCCTTGTTTATGTAGTTTGGTTGTTTTTATTTAGCAGCATATCAACACCTCTATGGGACATTTAATGCCAGAATCTATATTTGAAAATTCAAACATTATAATCCAAGAGAATGATATTCTTTCATGATTAAATTATAAATACTTAGCTCCAATTTTTTATCAAGTAATCTTACAAAATCAAATGAGGAATAAAACTTGTTTCTTTTTACAAGAAATGTAATTAATCATAGCAAAATTATTTAAAAAAAAATTTTTTTAACAATGTATGGCATCTTCATATTTACTATAAAATATATTGTTGGTCATTTTGCTATAAAAATGCATTGTTGATCATTTTTTTAATAAAATGTATTGATGGTATTTTTACTATAAAAATATTATTTATATTTTCCTAGTGTTTTGACTTTAGTTTTTTGGGGGGGTCATTATTTGGGCATACCTGGAAACTTGACAGGTGTTACCATCCCGAGTCAGGGAACAAAAGCTATTAAGAGGTGGTTCCAGGCTGTTCGAAACCTTTAATCTTCTGATTAGAGGCCTTGTTTATAGTGATACCCAGGATGGTTTGGTGGCTATAAGCACAAAGAAAGAAGATGTGAAGCAGGGGGGGGTTGAAGGTAAATATGAAAACTAAAAAAAATCAGGTGGTAGGGAGGGAAAAGGGGGTGAGGGGTGAGGACAGCAAAGGACTGAAAGAGTTTGGGATTGAGTTTCATTCCATTGCCATTTTAAAAGTCTTATTTAATATTGGTCTTTGCTTCTTTTGCACGTATGTGTTTGCGCTGGAAGGGGTATATGCGTGTTTGTGTATGTGTATATATGTGTGAGTATGTGTGTGTATATGCATTGTGTGCATGTGTATATGTCTGTATGGATTGTGTGTGCATGTATGCGCATATATGTGCATGTGTGAATGTGTATGTATGTGAGAGTTAGGATTGAGTTTCATTCCTTTGCTAATTTAAAAGTCTTATTTAATATTGGTCTTTGCTTCTTTTGCACTTGTGTGTGTGTGTCGTTGTGTATATGTGTGTGTCTGTATGCATTGTTAGTGTGTGCAAATATGTGTGAGAGAGCATGTGCGTGTGAGTGAGTGAGAGAGAGTGTGTGGCATTTTAAAATCTTTTGCACGTGCGTGTGTGTGTGGGCGTGTATGTATGTGTGTATCTGTATAAAAGTGTGTCTGTAGGCATTGTGTATGTATGCATTGTGTGTGTATATGCATTGTGTGTGCGTGTATATATGTGTGAATGTGTGTGTATGCGTGAGGGTATGTGTGAGAGTGTGTGTGTTGTGCGTTTTTAAAGTATTATTTAATATTAGTCTTTGGTTCTTTTGCGCTTTGTGTGTGTGTGCCTGCATGTATGTGTGTATCTGTATATATGTGTGTCTAGTGTGCATTGTGTGTGCGTGTATATTTGTGTGAGTGCGTATGTATGTGTGAGTGTGTGTGTGAGAATGTGTGTATGTTTTGCGTTTTTAAAGTCTTATTTAATATTGGTCTTTGCTTCTTTTGCACTGTGTGTGTGTTTGGGCGTGTATATGTATGTCTACCTGCATAAGTGTGTGTCTGTATATTATGTGTGTTTGTATGCATTGTGTGGGCGTGTATATATGTGTGTGTATGTGTGAATGTGTATGGGCTTGTATATTGTGTGTATCTCGTATTTTTACTATAAAAACATTTTTATACTTTCATTGTATTTTGTTTGGAGATTCACTATTTTGCCCATAGCTGGGCCCCTAAAAGTTACTGCCACTTCGGTTCAGGGTGGACCTGGGGACAACCGCAATTAAGAGGTAGTTCCATATTCTTGAAAACCTTTCATCTTCCGATCAGAGGCCTTGCTGCCGGATGTAGTTTATCGCCATACCCCGGACTAATATTGCATCGTATATTGCATAAATTATAAAGTCTGTATACACTTAGGCGTCGTATTTTAAAAGCAATTCCGGGATGATTAAAAGCATCTGGTCAAATCTGAC